CTCCATTTTTGTGTCTTTCTGAGTATTTTATTACATTTTGTATTTGAAGATTATGGTTAAGTGTTTTATGTATAATGGACCTCATTCACCAAAACGAACGATCACGTGATAATATTGATAAAACAAATATTTTTAAAAAACTGTCACGTGATAGCCATTGTTAATTAAAATGAGATCATAATTTGTATAGAAGAGATAGAGAATCACGTGACTCATTTTTGTTTTTTTACGATTGGTGAATAAGATCCAATGCTACTTTACTTTTTAAACGATCCTATCTACACATTAAATTATATGAATAATACTTTGTGCCTCGAAGGAAATATATTGAAATTTATAGGCCCGGCACTAAAAAAATTTATAGCTCTCAGTATAGAAATACCCAATGAATTCTGTTTTAAACTTGGTATGCAACGAATGGAGAAAGAAAAAAAAAGGCCAATAAAAGAGGTATTTAAAACTCCAAAGAGATGACGTGTTGGAGCCCTACAATTCCGATAGTGAAAGGCTTAAGGCTAAGGAGTTATCTTTAAAAGAAAGCATAGAATACACTGGCTTAAACGTCAATTTTATGTTTTCATTGTTAGCTCCCTTTGTTTTGAAAAGGGGAAAAAAAATCTTTGACATTTTTATCCTTTTTTTTTTAATATCCGAAGAAGAGGGTAGGATTTTAGAAAAACAAATGTTCGATTCCAAAATTCAAAATCCAGCTCAACACCAAGATCACAATGTCCAACCTGTTAACAGACATTGATTAGATCTGATGGTAATGAATAGAGGCGTGGCATTCGTGTTCAGAGTTGGAATCTCCTTATTTCATCTGAGAGGCCAAAACGGCTTGGCTATGTTTTGGGCACCTAACAAAGGGACTCAAGTTCGAATCCCGACTCGAGAAGGGTTGTGTTTGATGAGCGAGAAGGGTTGTGTTTGATGAGCGAGAAGGGTTGTGTTTGATGAGCGAAAAGGGTTGGGTTTGATGAGCGAAAAAGGTTGGGTTTGATGAGCGAGAAGGGTTGGGTTTGATGAGTGCCTAAATCCAGCACAGAACCCTTCTCCCGGATACCCCCTCCCCCCACTAGTCCACAAAAGAGATCGGATCAAAGCGCACTGAGCTATAAGCGTGACAGATGCGCTGTATAGAAAAAAAAAGAGAAATAATAATCAATATTTATAATAGTGATGAAATCTAACCTTTTCTTTGCCTTCATTCATAGCAAAAAAATCTGAGGTTTAAGGTTGCAACGTTTAAGGTTGCGAGGTTTAAGGCTGTGAGAATTGAGGTTGCGAGGATTAAGGCTGCAAGGTTTAAGGTTGCAAGGTTTAAGGTGGCAAGGTTTAAGGTTGCAAGGTTTAAGGTGGCAAGGTTTAAGGTTGCAAGGTTTAAGGTTGCAAAGTTTAAGGTTGCAAGGTTTAAGGTTGCAAGGTTTGAGGCTGCAAGGATTAAGGCTGCAAGGTTTAAGACTGTGAGGTTTGAGGTTGTAAGGTTTAAGACTGCAAGGTTTAAGACTGCAAGGTTTGAGGCCTCAATGTTTAAGGCTGCTAGATTTAAGGTTGCAAAGTTTAAGGTTGCAAGGTTTAAGGTTGTAAGGTTTAAGGGTGCAAGGTTTAAGATGGCAAGGTTTAAGATTGCAAGGTTTAAGGTTGCAAGGTTTAAGATTGCAAGGCTTAAGGTTGCAAGGTTTAAGGTTGCAAGGTTTAAGGTTGCAAGGCTTAAGGTTGCAAGGTTTAAGGTTGCAAGGTTTAAGGTTGCAAGGTTTAAGGCTGCAAGGATTAAGGCTGCAAGGCTTAAGGCTGCAAGGTTTAAAGCTGCAAGGTTTAAGACTCTGAGGTTTGAGGTTGTAAGGTTTAAGACTGCAAGTTTTAAGATTGCAAGGTTTAAGATTGCAAGGTTTAAGATTGCAAGGTTTAAGATTGCAAGGTTTAAGGTTGCAAGGTTTAAGATTGCAAGGTCTAAGGTTGCAAGGTTTGAGGCTGCAAGGATTAAGGCTGCAAGGTTTAAGACTGTGAGGTTTGAGGTTGTAAGGTTTAAGACTGCAAGGTTTAAGACTGCAAGGTTTGAGGCCTCAATGTTTAAGGCTGCTAGATTTAAGGTTGCAAGGTTGAAGGATGTGAGGTTTGAGGTTGTAAGGTTTGACGCTGTAAGGTTTAAGATAAGATAAAATAAGATAAGATAATTTTTATTAATCCAATCAAATAGAAATTCAGTTTGACTACAATTGACGGCCTCAGCGTTCAGTGTAACTTCTGCAACAATAACAACAGAGATGCACATACGAACAACATTCACACACGAAAAATACGCACACACACAACCTTAAGGCTTTAAGACTGCAAGATTTGAGGCTTCAAAGGTTTAAGGCTGCAAGGTTTGAGGCCTCAAGGACTGCAAGGTTTGAGGTTGCAAGGTTTAATGCTGCAAGATTTAAGGCCTCAATGTTTAAGGCTGCAAGGTTTGAAGCTTCAAAGGTTTAAGGGTGCAAGGTTTGAGGTTGCAAGTTTTAATGCTGCGAGATTTGGGGGCCTCAAGGTTTAAGGCTGCAAGGTTCAAGGTCTCAAGGTTTATACTGCAAGATTTGAGGTTGCAAGGTTTTATGCTGCAAAATTCAAGGTGAGGCTGCCAGTTTTGAGGTTGTAACTTTCCTTAAAGTATGTGTAAGCTGTATCGGGAGCTAATAAGCGTTTCTTAAATCTTAAAAATTGATTATCTCCCTTGTTTAGATGAACAAAGCAGAATTATGTCCCTTTCATTATTTTTTTGAAATAATGGTCGAAGAAGTACAGAGACGAATATCCAGAAGTCCATTATGTCTTAACTATGGAAGACAGCCACGGCGGAGTGGGGTAGCCAGTTTTCATATCACTTCGTTAAAAGTAGTTAAAGCACATTGGCTAATCAATTATTAAAGAATGCTTTTGTGTGTGTCAGTTGTTATCATACGCCTAACAAGTGCACGACATCTGCGAGTTGCCATGGTGATTAATGCATGGCCTTGCCAAACACAACAACAACAGTGGGGAGGGGGGGGGGGGGGTTAACAGTTTGGTCATGTACCGAGTTATCTATCTTTAATAAGTGCGATACTGACGTACAGGAAAAAGCAAGAAAAGAGAGCTAACTCTTTAATCATGTAGCTCTCTAAGCGAGTCCATGGGTGAATTCAAACAACAGAAGGGAAAAAAAAAACAACAACAAACATATAAGTTTAGAAACAAGCAGAAGATAAACAATGCCTAAAAAGAGACTACAAAAGTTTAGCTATGGGAAAGAACTCCGTCCGTATAAGTATAGCTCTCAATAATGTACTCTTGGAATTTCTTTGTTTGCGAGATAGAACAAGCAAAATACTTTTTAACAAGGTTACAAAGACAGTTTGTGCGGAGACACAAACTCCAAATCGCCCCCCCCCCCCCCGAAGTGGTCCACCCAGGCAGGTAAAAATGGCAGGTTTCAATATTTTCAGAAAGAACATCAGAATGAAATTCTATCAAAGACAAATGACAGAGAAGAATAGAGAAAGAAGGTTGACGGATCTTGTAAGGTGCCCCGGCGGTCCAGCAGACCAAAGGATAGGTAAAAGTGAAGATGAAGTAAGATGTGAACCTGGCCTAACTGATGTCTTATAATGAATATCTAATTGATCTAATTCAAATTATAAACATATGCAACGTAGATTTTTAGTGCTATGTCATTGAGCCTATTAAAAAGTGGAATTATGAACTAATAATTATGGACTAATAATTATGAACTAATAATTATGAACTAATAATTATGAACTAATAATTATGAACTAATAATTACGAACTAAAAATTATGAACTAATAATTATGAACTAATAATTGTGGACTAATAATTATGAACTAATAATTATGGACTAATAATTATGAACTAATAATTATGAACTAATAATTATGGACTAATAATTATGAACTAATAATTATGAACTAATAATAGTGGGAAGCGTGGTCGAGAGGTTAAGTGCGCTTGAACTTGGCTTGTCTTGGCAGAGTTGCGTTTACTGAGCGCCTAAAGGCAGCAAGGAAAATAAACTCCTAAGATACCCCCTCCCCCCCCCCCTCACGACTGGTCCACAAATGAGATTGGACCAAAGCGCTCTGAGCATGCTATAAGCATGCTACATAAAAGCTATAATATTAATTTATTTTCCTATAACCCGCCACTGATTTAAGCACAACAGGTGGCTCAAAGTGTCAAAGTAATTTCTAATTGCATTATCAACAGGAATTTAACAACTATAAGAATATAAAAACATAATTAAAGCAGGGAAGTAGTAAACAATTTTTTTTTTCTATTGCTCTGTTATCTCTTTCGCTTACCTCTGAATGTTTGCAATTATGTAGGACCAAAGACTAAACACAAAAGTGATATACATACATTTACAAATAAATTGTGAAGGTATACCAACATCCAAGAATACTGGTCAACATTCACTCCAATATAGGTAATTACATGATGAACAGTTTTAAAATGATCATGCATAATGATGCTATAATGTATCAATTGCAAACAATCGTATTTCATTGTACCCAATTTTTTTCCCCGAAATGTGCATTCCAATATTCTGTAAATATAAAACAAAGGTTATTTATTACTGTTATCAATTTTCAAATGTTGGTAAATTTTGAGGTGTAGAATAATGTGACTATTTTATTTAACTGTATAACTACTAGAATCTAGATTCTATACCTATGTGAAATAACGCCAGTAGATGTCCAGTGAAAGAGAATAATTTAATCAAAAAGAGAGAGAAAAGGAGAAAGAGAGAGAACGAGAGAAAGATAGAGGAAGAGAGAAAAAGAGCTAGAGAGAGAGAGAAAGAGAGGAGGATTGTGAAAGAAAAGAAGAGAGAGAGAAACAAAGAAAGAAAATCAGAAGGAGTAAAAAAAAAATACTGTGCATATGTTTGAGTTTAGAAGATATACTGAGAAGCTATTCCTTAAAGCATCCACCTATTATCAATCAAGAAACAATTTGAACTGACCTACTTAGGCATATATCTCTTCAGTACCAAGATCCCTTAACTTTCCAAATTAAACATAAAATGGTTTTTAATAATCCCTTCTAGAACAAACGTGTAACTGTAGCGAGAACTTAAATCTTCATCAAGCTAATCGCAGACGTCAACAACAAATGTTTCTGGAACTGACACAAAAACGTCCGCGAAAACTGATTTGTTTTTTGTTTTTAGTCGGGGTCTTTGTTTTGGTTTTTGGTGGCGCGCACCGACAGGCAGCTCGAGAGTTTGTTGTGTGTGCTCACATCTGAAAGGAGAGAGAGAGGGGGGGGGGGGAGAGGAGGAGGAAATGAAAGAAGGGAGGAGGGAAGTAAGGTAGTGTGATAAAAGTGTAAGAAAGGATGGGGGGGGGGAGTAAGTGTGGGGCGTAGGTGGTTGTGGGGTGGGGGGGGCGATGGTGGGCGATGGTGGGCGCTGTGTGTGATAAGCAGGTTTCTGACTTCGTGGAGAGAGATTTGTGACCTGGATTCTAGTGGTGGAGGTAAGGCGGAGCTCTGCAGGAGAGAGAGAGAGAGAGAAAGAGGGAGATTTGATGATAGAAGGTTGGAAGGGAATGAATGGGGGGAGGGCTGAGTACGATACTGAACAGTCCGAGAGATGCAGCGCACAACCCCCTGCAACAATTCGTTATGAAGTGATAAACTGGTGTCACTAACGCGAAGTACTTGAAAGTATACGCTGTATTATTAGCAAGTTTGATCTTTGACTTCTGGTACCCATGGCAAACGCAGAAGTTTGTTAGAAACTAGCATTTGATGCAGAAACATTTTCACCAGCAAATTAAAAGCATTTGGCTTTTTTAGACTTATACGACACAGAATATTGCTTGAAAATTTAGCATTGAATAGAGTTGAAATTTTATCACCAGACAAGTAATATTGATAGATTATGATCTCAAAAATAATAGCTCTAACTGCATCATTTACGCTATCTAAAAAAAACTACCAAATCAACCACAATTGCAACCACAACCACCACAAAACTACAACCATAACGTAACCAAAACGTTAATTCTTCAGCAACCATAAATCTACAAACATACGGTAACTACAAACATACGGTAACTACAAACATACGGTAACTACAAACATACGGTAACTACAAACATACGGTAACTACAAACATACGGTAACTACAAACATACGGTAACTACAAACATACGGTAACTACAAACATACGGTAACTACAAACATACGGTAACTACAAACATACGGTAACTACAAACATACGGTAACTACAAACATACGGTAACTACAAACATACGGTAACTACAAACATACGGTAACTACAAACATACGGTAACTACAAACATACGGTAACTACAAACATACGGTAACTACAAACATACGGTAACTACAAACATACGGTAAATACAAACCCTAACTAAAACACAACGAAAAAAAAAGCTGAAACAATCACAACTCAAACAACAGCCGCAACCGCAGACATAACAATTACAACCATAACAACAGCAACCACACAGTAACAAAACCAGAAAAACATTCACCAAAACAACAACTATAAAATACAGCGACTATAACAATCCAATCTTGGCGACAACAACCACAACTTAGTGACCAAAAAAAAAACAAAAAACTTAGCGACAACAACCACAACTTAGCGACAACAACCAGAACTTAGCGACAAAAAACACAACTTAGCGACAAAACCCACAACTAAGCGACAACAACTACAACTTAGCGACAACAACTACAACGTAGGGAAAACAACCACAATTTAGTGACAACCACAACTTAAGGACAACAACCGCAGCTTAGCGACAACAACCACAACTACAGCAACCATAGACATAACAACTACAACCAGAACAACATTCTTAACAACCACCTCAACAGCCACAAAAATAACAACTATAACAATCCCAACAGTCAGAATGTCCAACATCAGTATAAACAGCAACTTGTATTAGGTCCAGACTCGTTGTTTTCACAAGCGAACTTTTAGATAACATTAAAATGTTATCAACCTAACCCACGCTTGTCTTCGGAACTATGTAAATATCAAACCACGTGTTGGCCCTAATGCCCAGTGGCTATTGGAGTGTATTTTAAGACAGCTACGACTGCTTTGTTTTTCTATTGGTTCTTACCATAACAATGTGTTTGACAAAATTCCATCGGAAAGGTTCAACATGGAATTGGGCTATTAATAGCGTGCACAGGTCACGTGACATGCGGTGAGTTTTACCACTTCCGTTTACTATATTTTTTTACGAGTTAGGGAATAGGAGAAAATGAAAATTTAGGTGCATGGACGTACGCATTGCAATATTCGTTAAAAATAATAATACGATGTAGCGAAAAGTAATATATTAAGATGAGACTTTTTTGTATTATCTCCCTTACCTATGGTACTCAAACACCTTAATATTTTTTATATATAATTATCTCCCTTACCTTTGTTACGCTAATATTTCAATATTTTATTTAATTATCACCTTTGTCTCGATATTTGTACAAAGTCTATCTACGTGCCTACTGATTATTTTTGTTTTATTTTTATTTTTTTGTAAAAAGGTTAACATCCAGTCACATAAAAGGAAGTCATCTAATATCTAGTCATCTGTCATTAAGTTATCTGTCTTTGGCTGTCTGTAAGACATTACATTGGATTTGATGGCTGATTGGTAAAGAGCTTGGCTTCTGAACCAGAGGGCTTCATGTTCGGTTTTCGCTGACGACTGGGATTTTCTGTTTCGGGATGTTAGGTCACCTTTGAGTTCACCCAACTCTAATGGTGACCTGACATCAGTTGGGGGTTGGTCGTTGTGTTGGCCACATGAGACCTTCGTAAACCGTGAGCCGAAGAAACAGATGACCTTCACATCATCTGCCCTAAGCATCCTTAAGGGAATTTTCGTCCTCTGTCGGAGGCCTGTACGGCTGAAGAGCTGCCACATCATCAGATAATTCCTGAAGTGGACACTCTTAAGGGAACTGCACTGTGTTTTCTGTTTGACACAGCATGACACTGACAGTGCAAGAGAATGACACTGACACTGCAAGAAAATGACACTGACACTACAAGAAAATGACACTGACACTGCAAGAAAATGACACTGACACTACAAGAAAATGACACTGACACTGCAAGAAAATGACACTGACACTGCAAGAGAATGACACTGACAGCGCAAGAGAATGAATATTAATTCACTTCTAATCTAATGATAAAAAACGTGGTGATACAAACTTTCGAACGTGACCTCGTTTTTGTTTGTTGGTCATGTTCCTCGACCTAATTATATGTGTGTGTGTGTGTGTGAGAGAGATAGAGAGAGGAGAGAGAGAGAGAGTGAGAGTATTCTGTTCCCCCAAAAGGTCAGACTGGCGTTACTGAGCTCAAAGTGTGCAATAAATAATTTCGAACACAAAGGACAAAGAAGGGAGCTAATTTACGAACGCACTCACTCTGGAGTGTTTGGTTAGGGGCATCCACTGGACAAACCAATGCCCCTGCCACACAGGTCGGTGAGCGAAGGTCTGAGTTGAGTTAGCAGAGTTAGACTCTGCAGACTGTCAGTGATCGTAGGCAAAAATAAATAAATATTGGTCAGTGTTTCCTAAACTTGTTCTCTATCGGAACACTGTGCCCATTCTGGGTATTTAGCGGAGCTCTTTTTACTTCTTTTTTTTTTATTTAGAGAGATTATTTCTCGGGGAAGCTTACTCATTAATATTCCAGTAGTTCGTGGAACACATGTTCAGGCCTCGCGGAACACTAGGGTTCCAGAGAACACAGTTTGGGAAACACTGGTATTCTTTCTCTCTTTCCCCTCACACTCTCTCTTCTGTCCCCCATCTATCGTTTCTCTCTCCACCCTTACTCTCAATCCTCTCTCTCTCTCTCTCTCATTCTTTCTGTCTCTTTATCTTATAATCATTTCTCTCTCTCTCTCTCTTTCTACAAAGCCGATGTCAAATCAGTCTACACAATATTTCTCTCACACCCCAATCTCGGGTCATGCTGAAATTTCACACTAATATTTCTTTTACCTGACAATCTTATTAAATCTATTAGTTAACTTTTGGTTTTTAATTTTTTTTTCTTTTGGTATCGAACAAGGGAAAGAAATTGTATTTGACTGATGTGGTGATATAAGCTTAATTTGTCCCCTTTATGGCTCGCCGATTGTAAAATTGAATCTAACAACCTTCTATTTTCATAAGGACTTAAAAGTTAAAACTAGCACTGTAGTTAGTGTTGGCTTAAAGTGGATAGACTAGAGCACCAGCTACGAATTCAAGTCGTTCAACTTATATATATATATATATATATATATATATATATATATATATATATATATATATATATATATATATATATATATATATATATATATATATATATAAGCATTTAAGAAAAGATTACGGAAACGTTGACCCAAGATACCCTTTCGTTCTCCCCCCTACACCAACCCCCTTCCATTTGTCCAACTGGTCCAGACAAGTGATAGAATCATAGCGCGTTAAGGAAGCTAAAAGCATGACATAGCGCTAATTAAAAACAATCGGTAAAATCGAATATATAAAGTAGAATGTGAGGCGTATGTCTGTATGTATGTCCCCGTATAAAAATCAAAACCGTTTGACCGATCTTGATAAAACTTGGCAGAAATGTTCCTTGGGTACTAACTTAGACCGTAGTGTATGTATTGTAGCCCTAAAACAAACTTAACACCTCAAAAAAAAAAAAAAAAGTTGTCCGACTCTATTTAAGCTATAGTATTAAGGGATCTAGGCTCTATAAATAAATATCTGTTTCTCTCTATCTCTGTCTCTCTCTTTCTCTCTGTCTGTCTGTCTCTTTCTCTGAGTGTGTGTGTGTCTCTCTCTACCTCTCCCTTTTTCTCTCTGTCTGTCTCTATCGCTCTCTCTCTCTCTCCTTGACTCTCTCTATGTCTTTCCTTATATATGTCTCTCTCTATCTCTGTCTCTCTCTATGTCTCTCTGTCTCTTTCTCTCTCTATATATATATATATCTATCCCTCTCTGTGTCTCTCTATGTCTCTCTTTCTCTCTCTCTCTCTTTGTATAATGCTAATGTCCCACATAAAACCATGCTAAATACATATGGGATGTTTTTTGCTGTTGTGCAGTTAATTGCATTCAGCCTTTTTATTTCTGAATTCCGCACTACGCTCAGACTTACACACAGCCACTAAAACCATGAACTAATGGTGGCGCGGTGGCTAAGTGATTTAGCGCTTGATTTCCAAGCGT